AGCGGCGTGAGGGGCGGTACGAAGTCGATAATGAAGGCGGGCAGCGGTGTGAGGGGAGATGAGAATGGCTGGGAGCGGCGTGAGGGGCAGGGTGAGAGGCGATGTGACAGGCAGCGAGCGCTGTGAGAGGCGGTACGAAGTCGATAATGAGGACGGGCAGCGGTGTGAGAGGCGGGGACTTTTAAAAAACATTGCTAAGGATTCAAAGAACTTGATCTAGTGAGGTAAATCTTACCCTCTTCAATCAGTAGTATCTGGTTGAGACAAGCAAAACATTGTCATTCATGTGCCCTACTTTAAAACGACCTTAAAGAACACTGACGTTTCACACAACGTATTAGAAATACAAAAACTGAAAGTAGGTACAGCTAATCTGGAATTATTTACTGCATAAACTCCTCAACATTTTTATTTTCGGTATTTAAAATGACCAAGTAGGAAATTAAGGAGTTATCTTTCAACGTCTACCATCTCTGTTGTAAATTATACTGCGGATGAAGAAATCTTGGTCACCAAGGCTGTCAGTTTCTGGAAGCTGTCGGTGGCGGTACCATGCTGTATTGGTGCACTGTGGGCGGGTCCGCGGAAGGCGGGGCAGGTGGCGGCACAAGGCGCGCCCCGAGGCGTTCTCAGGCGCTCCGAGGGACGTGAGCGCGCCCCGGGCCGAGAGCGGGGAGAGCGCCCGGGCACGGCCGGCGCTGCTCCCGCGCTGCCGCCGTGCCCGGCGGCTGCAGGAGCTGGCCGCGGGCACGCTGCTCACGGTGCCCGCCTCACGGAGGGTGGCCCTGCCCGCGCTGCCGTGGGCTGCGTTGGGCTGGGCTGCAGGCAGCTGCTGGAACCATAACGCATAATGTCCTAAAGATTTTCTTAGATTGCTGTAAACATGTTCTGCTTTGCTGCGCTAAAGCATTTCATCACAAAAATTTGCTCGTTTAGGAATTCGGAAAGCAGAACACGAAAGAAGAAAAGAATTGTTAGTCTCGTGATTTATTTGGAATTGTCTTATTATTGGATCTCAATGATTAAAACAAAAAGGAGAGAGAGAATGCAAAAATAGGATGTGATTAAGTGGAATCTGAAGAAGAGGGAAATGAAATTTAAAAAATGGAAGAGAAAACAGACTAAGAAACCAGTATGTATTTATAGCACAACAACCACCTTATCACTGACTACTGTTGCCTTGGATCTTTAAAGCAGAAAAAATGAAAGGACATCCAATCTAAACCAGATATCTCAGATATTTAATTCTGTATGTATGAGGCAGGAAATAGTTTTGAAATGCAGCAATTTCCTCCTGAGAAAAACAACTTACTTTGCAAATATTAAAGTAGATAGCACTGCATGTCTCTGCCCATAAGCATTTAGCCTGAAGTGGATGATGGCAATTTTGATCGGGGAAATAAATTCTTTCAGGTAAAATGATCAGCAGGAGAGAGAACAAAAGAACGCTACTCTGAAGTACTTAGCCAGTAGTAAGGGGTTTTGATATTCATGTTACTCTGCCTCAGCAGAGAAATACTGATTTTTTCAGTTTGTTTTCCTGAGCTGTTTGTTACTGCACAGATTGGAGAGGTGAAGTTTCATTACTTACCACATAAGGCAGTCATGTAGTACAGCTTTGGTGTGCTGCCTAAAGCATTAATAATTATAAGGTTTAGTGCCATTGTACATCTGTTTTAGGAATTCTTGGGACAAGCATAGGGAACTTGGTTTAAATAAGAAATTGTAAGTTCATGTTGACTTCTTACCATATTAAATATAATATACTATTTCTTTTTAAATTTTTTCTTTCACTCTCTTTACTTCATTTCTTTTGTCACTTGGTATTCTTTAAACCAGAAGCTGTTGTGAATTGAAACCATATTTATAAAATAATTTTTGGAGCACCTTATTCTTGACAGGCAGCTAGCTCTTGGCACTACCTCAACAATGCCACTGTGCCAGATTAGATTTGTAAATCTGATTTTATGTAACAATTTCATTTATTTAGACTTTTTTCCTGTTTTCATTTAGACTTTTTACCTGTTGGAAATTATTAGACTGGTTTGTCTGGGTGAGAAGAATCAGCAAGAGAATAATCCTTCTGTGGCCATGGCCTAGTGCAGTTGAAATCTCTTGCCTTTCTTGCCATCCTCAGTCCCATTTCCCAATCACATAAATGCCAAACTTCAGAGATCTTCATCTGATGCTGGGGATAGATTTATTCTAATGATAGTAATTAGTGAATGACTGAATTAAAAATGAGTTTATATTGTAATGGTTCTATGTATTTTCAGAATGTGGTGTTTTTTCCATAACAGAGGCAGATGTGGGAAAGCCTGGGGGCAAACACAGAATTTTAACTGTGATAAAGAGACAGTAGTCATTTAAATTTTCCTGAGTGGTGCTCTCAGCATTCTGGAACTCTTCCTATTTCCTGGAAATTTTTCCTTTAAAATCAGTGCTCTACAGGCAAGTTATTAGCTGATTGCAAAGTTTGAAAAGTCACTTGGCAGGAGCACAAATCACTATGCTTCCAAGCAGACTGTCTGCTCTAATCCAGCTAACAGCTATTAGCATAATTATACACCAGTGTCTTGGGGTGACAACCAGACCTAGCCCACATCTAAAAGAAGCAGTTAGCATGCAGACATATGGAATACCTTCCTCATGTGTCATATTTTAAATCACATCTCTCTGTTGTTAAGATCTATTGCTAATGTCTCTGCAGTATTTTCCCTTCTCTGTCTTATTTCCAGTATAGCTTGTTTCCAAATGTCAGAAGTACTAAATTGTGGCTGCTGATACAAACTGACACTGGTTTTATATCTGGCAACTGCTTGGTGAAATACTACTGCTGTTTTCTTAAACTCAGTGACAGGTAGGCAATACCTTTTTCAGATGAGTCAATATAGCTGATTTTAGATGCTTCAGGAGCCCAATGGAGACAACAAATATTCTGGGGCAGGTATATATATATATATATTTTAAATGTTTATCATGCTTTAATTTCTCCCATCCTTGGTTTTATTTTCTGTTTTATAGTAGTTCAGCACAAAGTTAATAATGTTACAGAGATCATTTGTGTTAAGTGTCTAAAGCAAGGAGAAATGAAGGCAGACATATTTTCAGTGGGTTTGTATTGATAGAAATGTTCACTAGTGCATATAGTATGTATTTGATAAAATCTGGAGGATAGGTCTGGCTTCATATCTGTAAAGCTTGCCTGTTTCTTGTAGGAAACCTGACCAGTTCAGGTCTTGGTTCTGATCTGGATGCTGGTTGTTTCTCAGACTACAGGAGAAAAAGTAGTCTCCAGGCTGGAAGGTAAAGGACAACATCATTAAGCAGAGGACCCTTACTAGCTAATTTTGATTATAGATTTTTTTTCTTTTCCCCACAGAAGGACTAAAAAGATATACCTTTGTCATCACATGTTTATCCACCTAAGTGCCCATGTTTAAAATAGTATTACTGGGCAGTGGAACAAATGAATGAATTCTAAAGAACTAGGTTGCCACACACAGACAGAGGCCTTTGGAATTTCATCCTAATGGAGATCAGTTTCTTCTCAGAGCGCGATTGCTTTTTGCCAGTGAATAGGTAGATGATAGTTCATTTCACAATCTTTCTGACTTTGAGAGCTAGCTGAAAATTAGCACATTACATATCCTGCTACTTGTCTTATTCTTTTACACACTATTCATGTAATGTTGGATGGAGCAGAAGGTGATGTGTCATACAATAGAACAGTGTGTGTAAAGGTGTTTGCTAACATCGGGGTGCCCTGAAGCACTAAGGAGATACGGTGCCTGGTATCACTGGCCTGCTCTGGCTAGTGCTAGTCAGTGAACCAGCTGATCCTGAGAAGCTGATCCAGCCCTTTGGATGTCTGCAGAAATGCCACTGCTGCAGTCTCCCAAAGGAACACTGTCTTTGTTTTGCACAGCACTAGCAAGTTCTACTGGTGTGACAGTGAGTGTACTACAGCTGCACACTAAATCTTCAGTGACATGGCCCATACAAACAACACAACACTTGCCCCTCTTCTGTGGAATGTAGTTAAAACAGAGTGAAATTGAAAAATAGAGGAATTAATCACATTGAGACAAGCTCTGCAGGGGGATGTGAGAACAAGTATCAGAACAGGAATACTTACTGGAGTTTTAGAAGGAGAATACCACAGTTTCTTCAGAGATACCATCACACATACCTGTCCATTCCATTGTTGAACATATGTTGTACTGAGCTTTTGGTTCTCCTTCCATGTTCATAACATTTCTTTCTGTTCAAATCATATGAAAAGCTAATTCAACTCCTACACATTATTTAACTATTCAGGGACTGCTGACACAGTATGAGGGCAGGCAAGTTCATGTGGACAACTGAAATGTTGCTTGTAGCCCTTCCAAACACAGCCCAGGACTCAGCACGGCAGTGTTCCCTGGGCAGGTGTGCTAGTAAAAGACAAAAAGAGAAAGTTCTTACTCCTGTATT